GCCTCTCTGGCTTTGTTCCACAGCTGACCTGTGCTGGAAGTTCACCTGCAAACAGAAATAGCACCCAGCCCTTATCCCAAAAGCTGAGGGAGCCTGGCAGTGGGGCCGGGCTATGGTGGCAGGTTCTCATGGGTGGCCAGGGCGTGCAGACTGTGATAGCGTGGTAGCAAGTGAAGTGTACAGTGCTGCCATCTCCTCCTGGGATCGCTGGCTCTGCTCCCCCTTTCCAGGCAGCCTGGGGCACTGCACGGGCAGAATGAAGCCGCTGCAGCGGCCGACGGACCCGCTGTGTCCCGGCAGCAGGGACAGGAGGGACGCGTCCCCCTGCGGGGACACCGCGTCCCTCGCTCCCAAGCCGACCTGGGGGGTGCTGGAGGCTTCCCCCTCCCCTCCCTGCAGAGCACAGCACAGGCAGGTCTCTTGGCTCGGTTCTCTCGTGCTTTATCACCCAGCTCAAGTGAGCGAGGACAGAATTAAACCCCAGGCAGGTGGAGGGGGAGAGGAATCCTTTGAAGGGGTGCTTTGGCTCAAGAGCAAAGCCGCAGCCGGGCTGTCCTGGTGGCACGAAGGCCAGGGGATTTGGAGAACCTGTCTGGATGGCTGGCACCTGTTTCCCATCACTTAACACACAGCAGAAGACAATCGCTGGCTCAGCAGCACAGGGATATACGGCCAACAGGTGACCAGCACTGCCAAGGGCAGGAATCACCCGGGCCCGGCGCCGGTGTGTGGGACAAAGAGGAGAACGGGATCCTTCCTGGAATCACCAAGCTGCTGCATGTCTCAAAACTCGCTGTACCTCTGCTTTGGTTTGGCTGTGCCACGTGTGCCACCTCCCCATGCTGTTTCCCTGTGGTTGGTTTAGGTTTTGTCACCCTAAAGTCTCACAGATCCTGTCTGGAGTGGGGATGGAGGATTTCCCTGGAGTGATTGCCCAGCAACAAACTTTTTTTTATTTTTTAATTTAAAAGGAAAAGATTCTTGCATCTGATGTCAACACTAGTCTGTAGCTGCTCTCCAACACTTGTACCATTCCTGAGTTGGGTTTTTTTTGGACTGTCCTTTTATTTTTTTATTCCTTTGTACAGTCAGTGTTGTTTAACTGATTCTACATGGTTTTGTTTTGTATAAATTAAAGTCTTTTTGTTTGTTTTGAACTACCAATTGAAAAGAGGAGAAATTGTATTCGTTTTTGTGTGGGCTCAGAAGAGGTTGAAGGGAAAAAGCTGGTGGTTTTGCCCATGCCTGGGGATTTGGGACTGTTTGTGTTACAGGTGTATATTCCCATTTCTAGGTCATCCACAAAATAACTTGAATTATTTTCTGGGGAGCCATGATTCCTGTTCTGTAGATGCAGAGGATAAATCTGTTCTTGATTCTCACAGAATCACTGATTTGGGGTAATGGGGCCCTAAGACAACACAAACCCATCTCTAACAGGGCTGGTGCTGTAGGTGGCTGGAGGAAGCCATGCTCTCCAACAGTTTGCCAGGAATTGCGCCCAGTCCCTGCTCCACAGGGCAGCACAAGTACAGTCAAACCCTAAATCCCTTGTTTGGATCTGGATGATCCTGGGGGAGCAGCAAGTGCTGTGGCAGACCAGACTGGAGCAAGCTGAAAGCCGTCCTGGGACAAATGGGACTGAAAGGGAGAGGATGCTGCAGGGAGCTCGGAGCACCAGTGTCACACCAGAGTGGCCTTTGGAGGTACCAGGAGCCCCAGAGAAGGGGCATTTGATCCTGGGCTGGAGGGAGACTTCTTGTCTGATCCCCTTCTCCCAGCCCACCTCCCCTTGACCTCCCTTTTCCCCTGCCTTCTCACTTCCCTAGGATCAGATTTTCCACTTCGTACCAGACTGGCCACGCTTGTTTTAACAGCTTAAGTAGTAATTGCTGGGGCTGGGAGGGGGCAGGGGGAAATGAGATCGTGTCTGCAGCCTGGAAAACCCTGGAGCTAAGGTGAAAGCCTGGTCAGGGAAGAGTCACACAGCCCTTTTTTGACTCTTTTTCTTCAGGGGGTTCTGGAAGTGTCTGTTCCCTCTCCCGGGGCCGAAACAAAGGCTGTGTGTGGTTTCAGGTGGGGTCGGGACAGCCGGAGCCCATTACGGGGAGCAGCGGGGGCTGCAGCTGTCTGCCTGGGAAGAGCTGGGCAGGAAACACTGCACAGCCTGAGCGGGCTGGGAAGGCTGCGAGGGCTTCAGGGCTCTGCTCCTCCAGGAAAGGAGGGAGCAGGTTGCTCTGGGATGATTCAGGTCTTTGGTCACTGAGTGTGTTTCTCCACACCCACCTTTCTGATGTGAGGTTTCTTGGGTTGGGCCCGTTGTCCCACATAGGCTGGGAGGAGGTGGTGACCTTCATACAACTGCAAGATTTTTGAAAACGAGGGTGCAGCACCCACGGGTGCCTTGGAGGGGCAGGAGCCTGCTGGGTGCAGCAGGTTGTGGGAGCAGGGCACAGCACCCTTTCCTCCAGGACACGGTGCAGAGCCAATTCCTTGCCTTGGAGGGAGAAGACAAACTATAAAACCCTCATCTATGTCTGGGATCTTTGAAAGTGACCCAGACTTTCAAAGGGTCACTTCCTGTTCTAAGGTGGAGTTAGTGCCTGGACACACGGACACAGCTGAGAACTATTGAGATGGTGGAATTTCTGTGGGCTTGGTCAGGGTGGGAAGAGCTGCTTTGTCATTCACCTTCAGCTGAAGAAGCACTAAAAGAGGCTGGGTGGGGGTCCCAAGGAGTGGGTGAGGATTTCCAGTTGCTGGGAGCTGCTTTTCTAGCCATGCAGCAGCTGCCATGTCTCCATCCAGCCTTGCACCACTGTGATGAAGGTTCCTGGCTTATCCTTGCAGCTGCTGATCTTTAGAACACAGGCATGAGGCACTCAGGCTCTGGTGTGAGACACCTGCCACCCTCTGGCGCTGCTCCTCTGGGTGTGGAAAGGGGCAGTGGGGCAAGAACCAACCCAGAGCCTGGCACTGGCATCATGCTGTGACCACACAGAGCTCAGACATGGGTATGGGCAGAAGTTGGGCTCCAGGTCTTGTTCGCCCTTCCCTCCTGCACCAACCCCCTGGAAGGACCATGGGACACCCCAAAGTGGCCCTATGCCTCTGGGCTGCAGCCCTGAGGACCAAGGTGCCATGCATCTGCCACATTGCTTCCCAGCTGGAGTTTGTGGGTCTGTGGATTGGGGATCTCCAGGCAGCGAGTGCCTGGGGCCGGCTGGGTCGGTCTGGGGCTTTCAGGGCAGGCAGGGTATAGGCCCTGGCAGCTCCTGGCTGAGCTAGCCTGATGCAATTCCCTGTTTGTAGAACATCAGCCTCCCCATGAGCGTCCCAGGGCAGCGTAACCTTCCCTCATCATCTGCAGCTGGATGGACCCTTGGGTGCCTGCTTGGCAGAGGACCAGGATTCAGGGCACAGCCATGGGACACGCTGCAGCCCTCCATGCGTGGTCATGGCCAGTTGGTGACAGACTGACTGTGCTTTGGGGTTTTGGGCCCTGGGGGCCCCAGAATCACCGTGGGCAGCCCAGAGCCAGCAGCAGTGCAGCCGTGTGCTGGCGGGCAGGGAAGGAGCAGGGGTGGCAGGGGTGGCCGGTCACAGCGCTGTGTTGGTGCTGCTGGCTGGATGTCACTGTGCCAGAGCATTGTGGCTGCACCCTGCTCACACCAGCATGGGGGTGTTGAGGGTCCCCCGAATCACCTGGACTGGGGCAAAAGGGCTTCCCCAAGGAGTCACAGATCACCCCCACCCCAAAAAAAAAAAAAAAAAAAAAAAAAGGGAAAGCGCTCCCACCGGTTTTTTTGTCCTCTCCACCAGGTGCTCCCCGAGAGGGGAGAATGGAGGTGCTGAGCTGCTCCCCGGGGCAAAATCCCTCGGTTTCACAGGGGCTGCAAACCCCCCTCAGGGCGGTGGCTCTCACCAGAGCCGGAAGAGTTAATGCTCCCAAAATGCCATTAAATGTTCCTGCTGCAGGTCAGTCTCCATCGGGGATTAGGGGGATCTGGCCTGGGAGCCGGGGCCGGCTCCTGCCAGCTCTGGGCTGGTGCGGGACGTGCTGGTTGAGCCCAAGCACAATGTGCCGGGGTCTGGTGTGGCTCAGGAAACATCCTGGCTGTAAATCACCGGGGAGGGAGGGCTGGGAGCCCCAGGGGGCTGGGGGAGTCCCTCCAGGGGGGCTGCGTGGGCACCCACCCCGCCAGGCGAGACACGGTCCTGTGCCAGCAGCACGGCGCTCGTGGGATGCGGGCTGGAAAGCAGGGATGGGTCCGTGCCGGTGTCCCGCTCCCGGCCACCTTCGGCTGTGGTGCCGGTGGGTGCCCAGAGCTGCGGTGCGGGGTGAGGCACCCCCGGGCCAGCCGGGTCCCGGCCGCCCTCAGCGTGGGCTCCGCGTAGCTCCCCCGGCCGCCCCGTCCGAGGGGACCGCAGGCTCCGGCTGTTTTCTCATCCTGCAGGAATTCGGCTCCGTGTGCCGGGCGGGTTTTTGTGTGCGCCCCCACCCCCCGCCCCCCTTTCACTCTCCCTCTTTGGAGACTTTCTGCATTCTGCCTTTGATCTCCCCCCCGTGTTTGCCCAGGGATCGCCGGGCTCGCCGGGGTTAGAGGCTGAGGTCAGCGCCTTTCCCATTCCAAACACCCAGAAACATCAGTGGGAAGGGAGGGGATTCGGATTACAACCTCCCCGTCCTCCCCTTCCACCCCACTCGCCCCGCTGGCCGTGCCGGGGATGGACTGAGCCCCGAGAGCCCCGAGAGCCGGCCGCCACTGCCGCCGTGTCCGCGGCGCCCCGAGAGCCGAGCGGCGGCGATGGATGGAGGCGGCGGGCGGCATCGCCGGTGGTCCGGCGGGCGCCGGGCGTGCTGAAGGACAGAGGTTTGGTCCTCTCCTCCTACTCTTTGTCCCCCCGCCCGCCCGCCTTCTCCCTCATCCCGTCCGTCCTGAATGTGATTTATGCTGAGCCCTCGCCAGTGAGCCAGGCCGGCGGCGCGGGGTGGCCCGATGGCTCCTCGCGGCAGAGGCGGGCGCGGGGCCCGGGGCCAGCGAGCGGGCCGGCCGCGGGTCCCCGCGGGCATCGCGCTGCTCCTGCCCGTGCTGGCGGCGGCGGCCGGGCTGAGCCTGCAGCCGGGCAGGATGCGGCACCTGGGCGTCTGCCCCAACCAGCTGAACCCCAACCTGTGGGTGGATGCCCAGAGCACCTGCGAGCGGGAGTGCCAGGCCGACCAGGTGAGCGGGGGGCTGCGGGCGGTAACAGGGTTTGGGGGGCATCCCCAGGTCCCCGAAGGAGGTGCTTCGGCGTGTGGTTCCTGTGCCGGGCAGCACGGCCGGTTCAGTTGTTTCAGAGCAACGGGGTCAGCCCTGCTGCAGCTTTGCCCCCTAAGCTCCTCCTGTCTGCTGGGCTCCCCAGTCCCTCACAGGCAAAGAAACTGCTTGTTGCCCCTTCATGTCACCCCCTCAGACCGTGTCCCATGGTCAGAAGACCCTCCTCGTGCACCCCCAGGATGCTTCCATCCTGTCAAAGGGCTGGCCGGGATGAAGGGAATGAGTGTGCTGGGACACGGACCCCTGAGGGTCGGAGCCCACCCACGGACCGGGTTGTCCATCCCAGAGAGCCCTGGATCTGACCTCCACCAGGCTGAGCAGGGGCAACCCCACCCCGGTTAGGGCTGTCTGAACCCCGAGGGGAGACTCCTTCACAATCCATCTGTATGCGTCCTGCCTCGGCCAGCAAAAGCTGAGAAGGGCAAGTTGCTCTGTACTGTGGGGAGAAGGGACCGACATCACTGCGGTGCACCCCCAAACATCCTGGGGGTGCTGAGGGTGGGCTGGGGAGGTCTGGCTCTTACCCGCAGCCCAGCGATGCTGAAGGTGCACAGGGCTGAGCGGGGGACACTTGTCCACCCGAAAGTCCCACAGGGGTGGGAACAGCACGCACAGCCCCAGAGCGGGGGTGACCTCCACGTCCCCCCCGCAATCTGTTCTCCCTCCCCGACCAGGACTGTGAAGACTTTGAGAAATGCTGCACCAACGTGTGTGGGCTGCGGAGCTGCGTGGCTGCGCGCTTTGCCGACGGCAGCGTCCCGGCGCTGGCGCTGGCGCCCGCCGCCTCCTGCGAGAGCTTCGTGTGCGCGCAGCAGGGCTCCGACTGCGACATCTGGGACGGGCAGCCCGTCTGCAAGTGCAAGGACCGCTGCGAGAAGGAGCCCAACTTCACCTGCGCCTCCGACGGCCTCACCTACTACAACAAGTGCTACATGGACGCCGAGGCGTGTCTGCGCGGCACCCGCCTCACCACCGTGCCCTGCAAGCACATCTTCACCTGGCCCGACACCAGCCCCGTGCCGCAGGAGACCACGGCGCGACCCACGCCGGGCGCCGGCCCCGAGGTGCCGGTGCCCCCGGCCCTGTACACCAACCCCTTCCACCAGTCCGTGCGCGCCGGCGGCACCGTCAGCTTCCGCTGCGACGTGAGCGGGCGCCCGCAGCCCGACATCACCTGGGAGAAGCAGAGCGAGCGGGAGGAGAACTTCATCATGCGGCCGGACCAGATGTACGGCAACGTGGTGGTCACCAACATCGGCCAGCTGGTCATCTACAACGCCCGCCACGAGGACGCCGGCATCTACACCTGCACGGCCCGCAACGCCGCCGGGCTGCTCCGCGCCGACTTCCCGCTGTCGGTGCTCAGGCGGGAGCCGGGGGGGACCCCGCGGGCCGGCAGCCCCCAGCCCTTCCCCAGCTCCGAGTGCCTGAAGGAGCCGGACCGGCGGCGGTGCGAGGCCACGGAGGTGCGCTGGCATTTTGATGCCAAGCAGGGCTCCTGCCTGACCTTCCGCTACGGCGGCTGCGGGGCCAACAGGAACCACTTCGAGACGTACGAGGAGTGCCGAGCCGCCTGCCTGGGCAGCGCCCGCCCCACCTGCCTGCTGCCCATGGTGCAGGGGCCCTGCCAGAACTGGGAGCCGCGCTGGGCCTACAACCACCTGCTGAAGCAGTGCCACTCCTTCGTCTACGGCGGCTGCGAGGGCAACACCAACAACTTTGAGAGCAAGGAGACCTGCGAGGACGTGTGCCCCTTCCCCAAGAGCCTGCAGTGCAAGGCCTGCCGCCTCAAGAGCAAGATGGTGCTGAGCCTCTGCCGCAGCGACTTCGCCATCGTGGGGCGGCTCATGGAGATTGTGGAGGACCAGGACTCCGGCATAGCCCGCTTCGCTCTCGAGGACGTCCTCAAGGACGAGAAGATGGGCCTCAAGTTCTTCAATATCAAGTACCTGGAGGTGACCTTGACCGACATGGACTGGAGCTGCCCCTGCCCCAACATGACGGCGGAGGACGGGCCCCTGATCATCATGGGCGAGGTGCACGATGGCATGGCCACGCTGGACCCCAGCAGCTACGTCCGGGCAGCCAACGACAAACGGGTGAAGAAGATCTATGAGCTGATGGAAAAGAAAACCTGCGACCTCCTGAACCGTTTCCAGGACTAGGGGAGAGTCAGGATGTGCCGAGAGGGGGAGCCGCAGACACAGCCCGGAGGGGACAGCCTGAGGCAGGGGACAGCCTGCGGGAGCCCCTGCGCCAGTGCCTGCCTCTAGAGGTTACCACTGTCATGTAGTTCTCCCCAGCCCCATGCTGAGCCCCATACCAGCTCCCACCGCCACTGTAATTTATCTGCCGCATGTTCCCCCCACTATGTGACCCCCCCCTCCACCCCCAGACTGTCCAGCAGCAAAGAGAACTGGGTTGGATTGCAGAGGGGTGGGAGATCTGCCGGGACCACCCCACCCATAAAATCTTCCCACTTCACCAAAGCCTCTGGGCCCAGTGTAACACCCCCGGGTGCTGGACCTGACCCTTTCATTGGTGCGAGGTGGAACTGGGGACACCCTCAACCCCAGGGTTTGTGCTGAAAACATCAGGGAGCTGCTGGGGTGTGGGGGCCAAAGCCACAGAGTTTATTAGGGAGGCAGCAGCACAATCCTGGGGAGAGGGGAAGGGGGACACCATCAGCACAGCATCCACAGGAAATGGAGCAAGGAGTCTCCCCCATGCCCAGGGGTGTTGTGTCCCCCTCCTACACCTGTGCCCCCCTTAGCAGCTGTGCTGGCTCTTGTGGTCCAGGCTGGGGCACCCCACTGCAAAGGGAGCCCCAAAGGCACCAGGGGAGATGGACCCTACCCAGCCAAGTCAGCCCCAGCTGTGTGAGTGGGGCTCTGTCCCATCAGTGCTGTCCCCAGCCCCAGTGGCAGCCACGGTGGGACAGTGACACCCTGCAGGAGCCATCAGTGGGAGCAGCAGTGGTGGGAGGCACTGGAAGTGCTGTCAGGGCGGGTCACAGCTTGCGGAAGATCAGGCTCTTGTTGTTGGCCGGCATGTCCACCTGGAAGCAGAGCCGGGCTCAGGGTGCACAGGGGCACGGGCAGCCCCCGGCCCATCATCACCTACCATCCTCTCCAGGCACAGCCCGTTGGCCTCGGCCAGCTCCCGCAGCAGCGCCGTGTCCCGCAGCCCCCAGGCGGGATTGCTGCGGGGAGGGAGCCGTGGGTCACTCAGGGGACACCCGAAGCAGCCCCGGCTGGGGGCTGCTCTCAGGCCTGGCTTATCTTGAAGGACCATGCTGGGAGGGAGCTTCCTGCAGCTGCAGGGGCAGGACAGAGAGGACAGGAGGGGCCCCAGGAGCCCGAGCCCCCCAGCCCCCCCCTACCTCTGCCTCAGGCTGCGGTCGAAGTCCACGTTGCTCTGGGGGCTGATCTGGCCATCCACGGCATAGGGCTGGTGGGACACAGCTGGAGCTGCAGGCGGGAGCCACCCCGTGCACCCCAGCCCCCTTTCCACGGGCTGCTGCCCCCACCAAGCAGAGAAGCCAAGTGGGAAGAGACACGGCCCCCAAAGAGTCCTGTCACCCACTGTGAGTCCTGTCACCCTCTGCAGGCACCCCCAGACCCTGCTTTGGATAAGGTGAGGGAGGACAGGATCTGTCTCCTCCAAAACTGCCCCTTTCAGGGCTCAGCATGTGCCCCAAAAGGCAGAGACCCCCCCAAAAGCCAAGCCCCTGCATTTCCCAGCCCCCTCCCTAAGCCATGGCTGGAGCTGCCCTCCCACCTGCCCCCCAGCATCTGCTCTGACACCCTGCACCCCAGGATGCTCCTGCACCAGGACAGGTGACCCACCCCATAGGTGAAGAGCACACCTCCAGGCTTCAGCAGCACGCCGGCACCCTGGAACAGGCCCTGGGGAACGAGAGGTGATGACCAGGTCACGGGGCCGGAGCCCCCGCGGGCTGCAGGGACAGGGCTGCCGAGGGCTGCTCACCTGCGTGCACCGCAGCTCTGAGATGTGCATCATGTTGATGCTCACGATGAGGTCCAGGGTGGCGGGCTCCATGCCCCCCCAGCTCTCCCAGCCCTGTGACACGTCCAGCAGGATGGGGGGCAGCAGGTTGGGCAACCCTGCGGCCTCCACGTAGGCAGCGATGCTGTGGGCACCAAACCCCAGCTCAAGCCCTGACGGGTCCCCCTGCAGCCCCAGCAGCTGCTGCAGGCAGGGACAAAGCCCTGCATGGACTCCCAGAAGTGGAAAAAACACCCACAAAGGGATGTGGTGCAGCACAGCCTGGGGGCTCCTTGCCCAACCCTTTGCTTCCAGCTGCCAGATGCAGAACTGGAAGCACCTGGACAACCAGCAGCACGTGGATGCAGAGGCCCCGGGGCCAAACCTCCCCAGTTTTGGAGCACTCTCCCCTTGTGTGGAGCCCCACTGGCACCATTGCACCAGCACCTCCTGATTTTTGTGTTATTTACACCCTTTTTGGCACATTCACCACCTAGGTCTCACCTCCTGCAGCCTGCCAGCCTGGAGATTATTTTTACCCAAGGTGGTGGGTGCTGCTGGGTGGGCAGCACAAAACTCCTCCTGGATAGGGGCTGGTTCCAGCACACCCCCACCAGGCTTATTTTTTATTTTTTTTTCTGCAGTGGAAAGCTGGATTTTGGGAGTTTTCTGGGAAAAATAAAGTCCTGAGTTGGGGAGCATGTGTTGTTTGGGAGTTGGATATTGGGGATTTATTGAAAAAAAATATATAGTGAGTATTGACCTCGGGAGCCTGGGCTGGGCAAGAGTTGAATATTGTGGTTTGTCTGGAAAAAATAAAGCATCAAGCCAGAGAGCCTGGGCTGTCCAAGAGGGCTTTTGCTGGGAAAAAATACACATTAAGCTCATCTGAGAGAAGGATATTGGGGTTTTCCTGGAAAGAATACAGTACTGATTGGGGAAGCCTGGACTGCTGGAGACTTGGCTATTGGGTTTCTTCCTGGAAAAAAAATAATTGTGGAGCCTGGGCCCACTGTTGAGTGGGTCTTTTCTGGGAAAAAATACATATCCAGTTCATCCAAGAGGTGGATATTGGGGTTTTCCTGGAGGGAGCAAAGCACTCAGCAGGAGAGCCAGGGCTGCAGGAGAGTTGGATACTGAGGTTTTCCCAAAATCCCCAAACGAAACAAAATAAGAAAAAAACCAAAATGGGGAGCAGGGAACCGGGGCCGCGCGTCCATGGGCCCGTGGGAGGGGGCTGCCGGCGGTGCCCCCGGGCTCCTGCGGCGTCCCCCGTCCCCCCGGCCCCGCTCACCTGCGCAGCGCCCGCGGGTCGATGTCCGAGGGCTGCCAGCGCGCCCGCGGCAGCGCCCGCGCGAAGTGCGCGGCGTGCAGCCCCGCGCCCGCGCCCACCTCCAGCACCCGCAGCGCGCCCGGCGCCGCGCACTCCCGCAGCACCGCCAGGATCGGGCCCTTGTTCCGCTCCGCGGCCGCCGGGACCTGCATGGCGGGGAACGGCCGCTCCCGGGACCGCCCCGCGCCGCGGGTGGAGCTCGGCACGGCGGGGAGGGAAAAGACGCAGGGGAGGGAAAAGAAAAACTGCGCCGCCCGGGAATCGAACCCGGGTCGCAAGAATGGGAATCTTGCATGATACCACTACACCAGCGGCGCGGCCGGGAGCGGTTCCGCCCCGCCGCCCCTCGGCCCCAGCGCCCGCGGGGACCCCGGCCCGGCGCTGCCGCTCCCCCGCCGCGCACCCCCTCAAAGGGCAAATGAGGCTGGCGCGGACACCCCAGGGAAAAGGGGCCGAGAGGGGACCCCCACGCGCCCTTTCCGCGACAGCTGTCACTGGTGATGGAGGTCCGGAGGGATCCATCTGGAGCACGAGGATTAGGGGTTCAGCCCTTCCGAGCATGGAAAAGCTCAGGGATGCGCCAACAGGCGCCTAGAAACCCCTGGCAGGTCCGGGGGGAAACTGAAGCACAGCCTCCAGCACGTTACAGGGCGGGTGACAGCCAGTGGTGACATCCCGTGGGTCAGGGTTGTATTTAGGCACAGTAATAGGGTTCGGGGTGACAGCGGTGGATGCACACTCCACGCGAGCCTGGCACCCACCACGGTCAGGCGCTGCTGGGCTTTTATGGGAGGTACCCTCCTACACCCCTCCCTCCTTAGCCACTACCGGGGCAACGTGGCGGAAAGGCAAAGGTCACCCTCGTGGGGTGGCTTTGCAGCCCCTGGAGCCTCGCAAAGACCCCAGTGCGTTTGTCACACGCTCTCTCCCCAAAGGTCTGGGTGCTGTCGCCAGCCGCAGGGCCGGCCGGTGGACACTGGGGGGTAGCCGGGGACCGGCTCGGGGTCGTGTCCTGGGTCTGCAGCTCCTGCCACGTGGGGACACCTTAGCGGGACCTCCCACTCCAAAGGTCACCGTGCTGGCCACCCCGGTCCCTGCGCTGGCCATGGGATGTGGAGCTCAGGGCTGTTCACAGCGCTGTCCCGGCGGGGGTGGCACCTCAGCCCCTGCCTCTGCACCCCTTCATTTTTCCCTGCCTGGGTCCTCTGTGTCCCAGGAATGACCCCTGTCTGTCCCGTGTGTGTGCCGTGGCTCCAGTGTCCTGTCTCCTGAATGTCCCCGTGCAGGTCCCCTCCGAGTTTCCCGTGACTGCCGTGTCCCCTGCGTGCCTGTGACATCTTGTGTCCCACGTGCCTGCTGTGCCCTCTCCCCTACTTCAGCCCCGCATGGTCCAATGTCCTTCCGTGCATTCTGTGCGTCCTGTGCGAGTCCTGTGTCTCCCACGTCCCACATGTCCGCTCTGTGTCCCACGAAAGTCCCACATGTGCTCCCAGCCTGTGCTCTGCTTGTCTCCAGCGTGTGTTCCTGCATCCCGTGTGTCCCCATTAATCCCCACGCGCGCCCCCAATGAATCCCGCGCGTGTCCCCTATGCGTCCCCACAACCCAGACATGTCTCTTGCACAGCACATATGTGTCGCATGTGTCCCGGCACGCGTCCCACGCGTCCCCCCGACCTGTCCGGCTCGCGTCCCCCGCGCCCCCGAGCGCTGGGCGCAGCCTGCGCGCCCCCCCCGCGCTCCGCGCGTTCCCTTTAAGCGCGGGGGCGTGTCGGAGCGGGGGGGCCGCCCGGCCCTGCCCGCCTAAGGCCCCGGCGAGGGGCACTTGCGGCACTCGAGAGGGGCGGCGGGGCCGTGGGCCGGGGCCCGCAGGATGTACACGCTGACGCGCGGCCCCAGCAAGCTCGCCACGCAGCGCCGCACAGGTACCGGGGGGCGCGGGGCCGGGGGCGCGG